CACGTGGGAATTCCTTCCTACGGGGTTCCCTCAAGCCCTTTCACTCACTCACTCACACTCTCACACACACACACACACACACACACTCACTCGTTTTTTCCCGATTTTAAAAAGCTCTAGTCTTCCCATTGGCTCTTTTGGTCAGGTGCCCACTCCCTTCCTTTTACCTATGGACTTTTTAACCCTTTACAGGTAAAGCAAGTAGAAAACAGCTACTAAGAGGAATTGTATAGCTAACTGGCTGGCTGGGTGTCCATAAAAGGGAGCTATTCTCCCCTTCATTTATCACATGAGTGGTAACAGCTAATTTAGACTCCATAATTTTATATGTATAGTTGGGATTATGCTTTCCCATGTGCATTACTTTGCATTTATCAACACTAAATGTCATCTGCCATTTTGTTGCCCAGTCACCCAGTTTTGTGAGATCCCTTTGTAACTCTTTGCAGTCTGCTTTGGACTTAACTACCTTTAGTAGTTTTGTATTAGCTGCAAATTTTGCCACCTCACTGTTTACCCCTTTTTCCAGATCATTTATGAATTTGTTGAACAGTACTGGTCCCAGTACAGACCCCTGAGGAATTAACTCTCTCCATTCTGAAAACAGACCATTTATTCCTACCCTTTGTTTCCCATCTTTTATCCAGTTACCCATCCATGAGAGAACCTTCCCTCTTATCCCGTGATAGCTTACTTTGCTTAACAGCCTTTGGTGAGGGACCTTATCAAAGGCTTTCTGAAAATCTAAGTACACTATATCCACTGGATTCCCTCTTGTCCATATGCTTATTGACCCACTCAAAGAATTCTAGTAGATAAGTGAGGCATGATTTCCTTTTACAAAAACCATGCTGACTCTTCCCCAACAAACTGTGTTCATCTATGTGTCTGATAATTCTGTTCTTTATTATAGTTTCAACCAATTTGCCTGGTACTGAAGTTAGGCTTACCAGCCTGTAATTGCTGGGATCGCCTCTGGAGCCTTTTTAAAAAATTGGTGTCACATTAGCTATCGTCCAGTCATCTGGTACAGAAGCTGATTTAAATGATAGGTTACATACCAGTTAGTAGTTCTGCAATTTCATATTTGAGTTCCTTCAGAACTCTTGGGTGAATACTACTTGGTACTGGCGACTTATTACTGTTTAATGGCTGTCTGCCATTATCTGATGTAATTGAATGGGACTCTTTTTCATTTGACTGTTTCTCATCTGATCCTACCTGTATTTTATCATCTTCCATCCTCTTCTCCTTACTAGGATATAATCTCCATTAATAGATCCTCCCCTAATGGATGTCTCTGTCCAAACCATGAGCTCCTCCGCACCTGTCAGCTTTCATCCTTCTGAAGAGGGGAAGGGCAGTGCCAACAACAGAGATTCTTTTACTAAGAAGAGATTTTGCATTTTCCTCGAACAAGTCTCTGGGAATAGTGGAAGGAGTCTGAGAGTTAGGCTTCCAGAAACCCTACAAAGGATTTTTAAATAACTGATGCGAGGAGAGGTGAGAGCCTCCTGATAAAATTTTACAGTCAGGAAGGATTCATTCAAGCACTTTGGGGAAGGTTTTGAGAAAAAAGAGGCAGGTAATCACTGAGACCCCTTACCTTGCAGATGTCTTGAAGAACCTCTTACTTATTCAAGGGAAGAGGGAGTGGATGGATTTTAGAACAGAGGTGAGATTATGGAACAAGTACTATAGTTTCTGATCAGTAACATAATTCAAAACAAACTATCTGCATTCTCATATTTTTATGAGCTATCAAAGTATGTGCCCAGAAATTTAAAAAAATACAATTTGAAAGGAAAATTCTAGAAACTATTGCAGAAAGCTAGTTTCAAGTTCTTACCATATCCTACAACAAAGGGATTCCAACAAAGTCTTCCTAGTAATTGACCAATTAAAGGGAACCTCTGAACTGCAGTAGTGGAATTCTGTAAACAAAAACATAATGTACTGAACACCAAAAATACTTGATTATCATTAATTACCTAGATAACTGTAAATTACATTATTAATTTGCTAAAGGTACACATTGGGGAGCAGAAGACCTTCAGATATTTAATAAAAGCAAAGCTTTCAGGCCACAGCTGTAACTTAATACTTCATCCAGGTCAGCTAAACCTCAGCTATATTTCCCTTAGGGTAATGTTTAATTATATTGGAAAATTAACTTCATTTTCCTTATGTGGAGTAGTCAGGAAAGGCTATAATATTTGTAAATAACACAAATTTCCAAGTAGTAAAATACAATTAAAGTAGTCTGTTGATCCCTATAGTTTTCTTACATTATGCCATGGAGTTTGTGAAGAAACTAACAGAAGCTATGGCATAAAGATAAGTATCTACATATTACTACTCCTGCTTACTGCATGGCAAATGACATCATAACGAGTCAGTCACAACATAAAATTTAACAGACACTGAACCTTCCAAAAAAACAAGGAACATTTAACCAAATAGAAAGCAGCTTCACTATAAAAAGTAGTAGATAGTGAGGTTTATATAGACCCTTATGCAATCAGCCTATTTTTCAGTATTTGTAGCTTTACTGTCTAATAAATGAAGGCTTTAAAAATGGTAGTGTGCTGAGATAATGTGCAAGTAGCAGAAACAATAACCATCTCCTGCTGCTGCAATAAATTCCTCAGATTTGTCTCAGATTGGGGCTGGTCCTAGACTTTCTGGGGCCATATACAGAAGGTCCATTTGAGGCCAAACCTCAGAAAGTACTCACCGAAGTAGCAACATTAAAAAAAAACACAGATTTTATTTTTATTCTCATATAAAAATCTCTATTCTTAAAGTATACATACACACACAAAAATCAATTTGAAAACTGCACTTTAACTTCAGAAAAAAAATAACACTTTTCTTTTGTTAATCTTTTCATGAGGTGAAGAGCATTTTAACCTCACAACTTGATACTGTATTATTGAAAACTGCTATGATGAATCAATGCACACAAAAGTTACAACAAAAAACACCACCTAAAGTTTACCTGACTACACCAAGGAAGAAAGAAAGAAAGAAAGAAAGAAAGATTAAATACAATATTCAAATTACTAACCAGAATAGTTAGTAACATTTGCCAGTGATCGGACCATAGTGCTGGAAATCACTATATATGCCAAGCACTGGGTTTAGCATGTCAACAGACTCTTTAGGATTTAAGGGATCACTTACAATTTTGCATGTAAAGGCCTTTAAATAATCCAATTTATGACCTGACAACAAGAATCAAATTTGTGTTTATTTTAAAGAGTTTTTAAAAGAGTCTACTCGATTGGCTAGGAAATCTCATGTGACAACATAACCAATCAAGAAAAAAAAGCTCCTTTCACAATAAATCAGGGACACAGGAAACACATTCCTGTTTGCATTACCTGTGGCTGTTTCCCCAATTTGCCTCTTTTATCCAGCAATACATTAGGTCAATACCACAAGCCTCTCTGCTACCATTCACTTTTTGGTTTTGTCAAAACATGGGGTTCAGATTGTTTGAGGCAGTCTTCAAAACAGTTCATTCTTCCTGCTAAATTACTTACCATATGTTTCAAGGATTCATAAATCTGCTGTAGAAACTCCTGTAATTTAGGCAAGTGAAGGCAGACATCTTGCTGGGATTCCAAAGTGGTGGTTTGACCCCACTCAACAGCCTTATCCAGCCAATACTGAAAGCTCAATTTAAGGACAGCATTATCTTGGGCCATCCCCTCCCCCTAAAAAAGATTAGAACTATAATCAGACATATCTAAACATACAATGGGAAAAAAGTTTGCTAATATCTCATCTGTGAAGTGGGAGAAAATTAAGAGAATCTTTTTTCAGTCTGTAGATGCTCCATAAAGCAGTAAAGTGGTTTCTATAGTTAGAAGAGGGTAAAATAATGACCCCTTTATGTCAAAATAGCAGTGATGGAATAGTAATCAGTACTTTAAAATATATCACCCAGCTGGGGCTCAGATTTTTACTATCTGAATTTGTCATCACCAATATTTCATTAGAAGAGTAGTAAAATAACGTGTGGGGGTATGTATACACAAATGCATCTGTGCTGTGTGCAATGTATTGTTTGTGAAACTTCACTACCCACCACATCTAGTATCTTATTTTTACAAGAAGATAACTTGTATTCTCAAAACAACGCTTATTTAGGATTTATTTCATACAATGAGAAATCTAAAGTATATCCAGTTTTCAAATTAGTATGAAATTTTTAAAATAGCTTGTTATCAAAAGTGAGGAAATGTTTTAAAATTTTACATCTGTTAGTATCCTTTAGCTTTTTGGGCAAGAAAAGTTATTTCCTTAAAAGTTGTCTAATGAATTTAATCCCCTATTTTCTGTCTTTTCCCCCTTCATTTCTTATTAAACACAGAAAAAAGAAAATATTATTACAATCTTATTTATAAACCTGTTTTAATTAAAACTGTATGACACACTATATACTTGGAATTCAATATTTCCAAGAAGCAGCATGCCTAGGGCCAGATCAGTATGACGAACGCCAAGCATTCAAAAATAATGAACTAAAACCAAAGTAAATTGGTTTAAAATTAAAATTGGCTTAAAATCATGATTTTTAATCACATTTTTTACCTGCTTTCTGATTTTTCTTCACCTTTTGAGGAAACCACCTGTGATCATCTCAGGGTCAGAATTCAACACACACCACCTCTCCAGTCACTGCTCAGATGACACGCATCTCACCCTCTCCTAACCCTTGAGTTGTGGGGAGTTGTTGTCCTACCCATCTCTAACCCTCTCCCTGTCTAGACAGGATAGGCAGCTGTCTTACTTATGTACTCCCTACCTGCTCCTCCAGCCGCCTGTCTCCCATCTACCCCCTAATTTACTTCCCCCTCATATTCTCATCAGTCTGCTACCTATCTCATTCTCCCTCTCTGCTGCCTCCCCCTCAGTCTGTCCCTGGACCTTCCAACATTCCTTCAGTTCTTTAGTTACCTAACTCACTCCTTTTTCGTGTTCTCTTCCCCGACCACTACCAGTGTCATTCACTGCACCTCCACATTCTCCTGCCTCCATTTGGTCCTCATACAGCAGTCTGGCTGCAGCCCCATTGGAAACGATAGGAGAGATAATCCATCTTTGTTAGTGGAAGCCTCACTTTTCTCTACAAAGGTTATGTAGACATGGTGGCCATCTTTCTGAGAGAAGTCTGTGGTTTAGTTCCATTGACAGTGAGTAATGGGAGGTGGTGAACATACTGGCTAAGGGCAAAACTTCAAAAGCTGGTAGGTAGAAATGAGAAATTCTAGAGAACCTTTAAAAAAATATTGTGAGAGTTGGAAACACTTCAAGAATATAAAAAGCCTTCCTATCTAAAATTCTACCAAATGTCCTAATCCTCCACCCCAATAAAAAAAGGGCTTAGAAAACCAGAACGAAAAGATTTCAAGAAATTCTTGTTCATCATGTTTTTCATTTGAAAATAATATTCTCTAGTTAAAATGAAAACTTTAAACAAAGATCTCAGTGAATCTAACTCTCATAAAAAATCCTAGAGAGTGACCAGTGGAGAATGAGTTCCTCCGTTTAGCCACAAGATACATACAACAGTATGGACAGTGGAACAGCAGACTTTCCACAATGTGGAAAGATGCCCTGAAGGGAAGACCTCTAGGGCTGAGACTATTCAGTGCCCGTGTCCATCCAATCATTGTCCTTTCTGTCAAGACTAAGGCAGCTGTCAATTAGTGCCAAATGTGGTGGCAATTTCATGATATGGACTCTTGTTCACTGGGAGCTGAACTCAGACAATAACAGAAGCAACTGGAGTCAGTGGATACCGACCCCTAGTATGCGACAGGGTACAACCTTTTGTAACCCTGACCTATGCCATGTCATGTGGGCCAAGACAAAGTTCAGACGTTGCAGTACTCCTACAAGTGACAACTGCCTCACACAGACCACCATGATCTCTTTTCACAGAGACTAAATAACAGCCATGAGATGCTTACTAATTCGGCACAATACTAACCGAGGCCAGATTTAAAAAAAAAATTCACCACCACTTTTAAACAGTAATAAATAAACAAACAATGAACCACAGTATTGTTTAGACCAGTGGTCTCCAAACTTTTTTGATCGCGCACCCCATCAGTAAAAAATTTTTTAGCATGTACCCCCTGCAGCACCGAAGCAAAAAAAAAAAAAAGTGCTCCTCCTGCCATGCACCCCCAAGGATCCTCTTGCGCACCCCACTTTGGAGGCCACTGGTTTAGACTGTTAGAGGACTTTGGATCCCACCCAATAAGAAAACATTTTAATAAGTAAGGTACACCAGTTGGATGGCTAGTATTTAAAGCATGTTTGTTTTAAAAACTGATCAAAGGAAATGTAAACAAAGCCTACATTTTTTTCCATTAGTTACTAAACCCGCACTTACATTTTTTGTTGTTGCTGTCATTTGAACACTTATGGAACTGTGTATCAAACTCCTATTAATCCACCAATGTCCTGTCTTATTAGCCAATAAGTATTAAAAAAAATAGGTAATGAATAAGCACTATAACAATTAGTTACATCTAGATGTATGATTTTCGGAGGGGGGGGAGAGTAAATTAAGCCTTTATAGTATTTCAATGGGTGAAATTCATCCTGATGAAGAAGGCCTACAAAAGGCCCTCCACACTGCTTAAAATGAGACTTGCTACCAGAGTGGTTGTTCAGAAGAATCCTCTGCACTGCCTGAATATTGCAAAGAGGGTCTTTGTGTCAATAGCGTATAGGCTTACACAGAGAGATGATGAAGGCAGAAACACAGGACTCGAACCTAGTACATAGATTGGACTGGGAGCCACACGAGAGGGGCTGGTACTGTGTAGCAAACTTCTACCCTAGCCCCAAAACAGGAAGTGAATTTTCTCTTCCCTTCTCATATGCTCTTCACCAAATCTGAATAAATTGTATTGTTCGCCTAGGAAAAGCCCCTGCAGTAAATTGCTATACAGATCATAGTTAGATGACCTATTTCAGAGGGGTTTACTTACTGTACTCATTGTAGGCATGGGCACCTGGACATCATTTTTAGCAAAGCACCTAAACAAGTGCTTAAATCCATTCCTGTTCAAAAAGATGCTTAATCTTCAAGCATGTCTTGGCATGTTTTGCTGAATTATGGTCTTGACTCTTCCAGATTGTCACCAAAGAATACATGTGAGCGGCAAATTCTCATTTGTACCTATTCTGTCCTGGGCATCCTGCCTTCTAGGATATACCTCAATGTTTGCTTTCTTCAGAGGCCTAAAACTTTCGCAAACAGCAACATTTTTGTGTATCTTTTAAACTATGGACTCTAGCCCTGCAAAGGACACTTTTCCTGAATTATCCTGAGCTTCTCCTTGATTTAGCCACATGAGGAGATATACCATAGGACTGAAAAAATAACAAATGCAAAAATACAAAGTACACGCATAGAATACTGACCCTGATATATCACTTTAAACTCAAAGTCTTCCATGGGGTGCCCAAACTGATTAACAAAAATACACTTGAGTAACCACTGGTCTTGTAATTATAAATAAAATAAAATAAAATAAAATAAAAAATAACCAAATATAATGACTCTGTCAAAATGAAAAAGATTGCTAACAAAATTACAGAAGGGAAACTCCTCTTGGGTAATTTGGTCCATCTCCCCAGAACAGGTTTGTTCCCCAGTTTATTTTCAGAGCCAATGGTATTTCTTCAATTAAAAGATTTGCTGTTATAGGCTAGCACTCCACTTCTGCTCTGACTGCCACACTCGAAACCCGATCCTGTCTTTCCATTACATTTGACACAGATCCAGAATTTAGAAAACCGAGTAGTTCTCATTTAGTATGATTCACCTCAAGTTACTCCCTCTGCCTTCTGGAAGGGAAAATAAATTCTTGCTCCTCCTGCGTCAGAACCTCCCAGTCAAACTCCCGTTGTTCTTCACTTTGAGGCAGTGAGGAGCCCTGCAGAGCTTAGGCATGGGGTATTTGTTACATCCTTCAGAGACTGCGGGCAGCATTTCTAACAAGGAATGGATTAGCTTTATTCTGTTGAGTGAGTTATCTGGATTAGTGTCTGAAATGTAACATATTTAGTCAGTAACTTTTGTTACCAGATTCTCAGGCACAGCTCCACACGTATACCAGAATGTTCCACTTTAAGTGCTAACAGACTTACTGTTAGAATACAGCTGTCACATACCATATCCAAAACATACAGGTACAGACTATAATATGAAAGTCTGAATCCATGACTGGAAAAGTACATAAACACAAAATTAACTTGTCCTGGGAACTGAAGAATATCAAAATCTCAAAGAAGATATCAAACTAGTTTTCTTAAAACTGGAATGGATTCTGTTTGCTGTAACCATCTCTTTTCCCCAAGCCTAAACAAAAAAACCTTAAAACACACTGGATAAAGATTATTCCCCTGCAGTGGGTATAGATTCATATCCTTGGGAAGCATATGTATTGACATGGAACTATCTGAGTAACAGGGACTGTTGAGCCTACAAATGCCTCCCAGCAGTTCCAAATGACTGAAATGCAGACTCTGTACTACTGAAGGATGACATAACCTGTTTACTTGATCTATCAGCTAAAATAGGTGTGCAGCATCTAACCAGGATTTCTATCATAGTTATTTCTATGAAGGATCTTTTATAGCTCTGACTATCTTTAGATCTGTCTTTCACCGGCTGCTGATAAAGTGGTCA